TAAAAATGTGTTGTCTGCAACAAAAGGAAAAATAATGGTTTCGACTTAAATGACTCTTTGATTTCCAAGTTGTTTTCTGTTAGCAAAACAAGATTCTATTTTAACCTCAGGGAACATCCATGCCAATTCGGGCTTGGAACATTATTTTAGGCAAACAGCTTGGTGTCATCTATTTCAGATCCTCCTAATGAAGTCCAAAAATCTACTTATCAAAATATTTTTTTCTCCAGATAATCAAATTTTGTAAGTATAACAGAGGCTTGGTTCCAGGCTCCAGTGGCTACTCAGTCATTTTCTTTGCTTATTTATTCTGGGTTTGGATTTGCACCTAAGCCTACCAGAGCCATGGATGGTCCTACATGATGGAAAACTGGAAAGGGAAAAAAAGGGGAAAGTGGTGAGGGACAATGGGATGGATGTCTGGAGCAAAGTGTAATGGACCACCTGCAAGCCTCTCTTTTAATTATTTATTCCCTATCCCTACACACAGTAAGAAAAGTTTGAAGTTGTCAAAGATTTTGTCTGGCTTAGATCCACAACCAATGTTCGTGGAACCAGCAGTCAAGAGATCAAAAGACACATTACATTAGTTAAATCAGCTGCACACACCCTCTTGAGATAATTAAAATGTACTTTGAGGACTAAGGTGCACCGGACCCAAACCATAGACAAACAAGTCTATCTAGGAAGTAGTCACAAGTAAGCATCTTACTAGTTTCATCTACTTTCAACTAACATCCATCTGACATCAGCAGTGATATTCCTTGTTCCATATCTTCTTTTGCATCTGGCCTGAACCTCTGGCAGCTCCCTGTCAACGTACTGCTGCAAGTGTTGGATGATCTTCAGCAAAATGTCACTTGTGTGCCATGTCAATATCATCCTCTACTTTGAGTATTCTGTTGGGTCACGTTTCTTTGGAATGGATACAAATATGGATCGCTTCCAGTCAGTTAGCTAAGTAGTTATCTTCCAAATTTCCTGGCACAGACCAGCTGAGTGCTTCCAGTGCTTCATTAGCTTGTTTAAATGTTTCAATTGGTATTTCATCAATTCCTGGCAAGGGGCCGGCTGGAGGGGACACTCAGGGCGGGAAGGTAACGTCTTTGGGGGCCAGGCGAAGAGAAAGGTTACCAGTCGGGCCGGGGAGAAGGAAAGCAGGGTGCCGGGCCGAGCGGGAAAGGGAGAGCCGGGAAGGAAGGGAACCCGGGGCTCAGGGCAGCGCTCCTCGGGTCCCGCCCGCACAGGTGGCGACCGCGAGGGGCCAGCCTTGGCTTTCGCCGGGGGCGGCGGAGCGCGGGACCGGAGAGGGGCTGGGGCGGGGGCCGTGCGCGGTCCGCGCTCAGCGAAACCACCGGCCGGCTTCGACCAATGAGCCGAAAGCAACCTCCAGGAGTTGCTTCTCCCGCAGTTTGGGCACCGGCCTGATTTTCATGTTGTAACCAACTGGGCGAGTTTTGCAAGAGCCAAGCGCAGCCTGTTTCCACCTCCGCCAGCTCCCCTCGCAGAGCTCGAGGAGCGCAGCACCCACAGCTCCGCCAGGGACACGTGCCCCCAAGAAAAGGGAGGCTGTTACTGCTTGGCAGTGCCATCGTGCCGTCGGATGTGGTCGAGATCATGGAGAACCCATTTTCAGTCATCATGGCTCGGTTGTTGCAAAGTAACAAGTACCGTGGTAAAGGACTGTGGTTCGGATCAAACTACACATCATCCTGAAGTGCAGGGTAACACAGAGTACAGGCCTGCCAGCCCTCTTCTCAATGCCTACTTCAAAAGCAGCCCCTGCGTAGTGGAGCTATTCGCGTCACCAAGACCTATTTGTGGTCGCTTTTCTCCAGTACATGGCCACATCGCCCTTGTGGCACACTGCAGGCACGCATAGCCCTCTCTTGGGGCCACTGTTT